AACTATAACAATTTCAGTAGAAATTGGCATAGGACTTAGATATTATTTTCATATTTTTCTTATATTTGTTTAATTATCTCTCCCAACTCTTGTTCACATTTATTAGCTAATTATCTTATCAGTGAAAAACATGTAATAATATTTATTTTGTAGTATAAAATTTTTAATCTTTTTTTGATAATAGATTATTTTAGTTAATTAAATAATTTGAATTAAATTTTTAATTAGTAAATTTTTTATATTAAAAAACTTTTTTTCTTTAATAAATTCAAATTCAAATTATTAATTAAAAATATTATATTTTATAAAATTTATTTGTATACTAATTTTTATAAAAACTTATTAAATATTTATTAATATTAAAATTTATCAAAAATATTAATTTAATTATTTATTTATTAATAGAGATTAATTTTTAAAATCTTAAATATTGATAAATTTTGAGTTAATTTTTATAAAATTAATATTATAAACCAAATTTTAAAGTAAATTATTAGTTTAATAATAGTATAAATTTTTTTAATTTTAAAAAAATAATAAATTTCAAAAAATAGAAAATCTTCAAAAATAATTAAAAAATAAAAAAAATAATTTAATAAATATTTTTTATAATTTTATTTATAATTTTATTTATAACTTTTTTTATAATTTATAATTTTATATACAATTTTTTTTTGTAAACTTATATATTATTTATAATTTTGTTTATATAATACAAGATATTTAGTTTTATAACTTTTAATATAATATTATATTTTTATTTAGCAAAAAAAAAATAAAAAATTTAAAGCTATTATTTGAATTATTTAAATTTAAACTATAACTTAATGAAGAGTTTTTTAAAAATATTTATATTTTTTTACTATATATTTTGCAAGAGTTCCAGTTAATTCTTATCTATATATACTTATATATCGATATAATTTATATACAAATTTTTAATTGATAATAAACTTACTGCTTTATTTAAAGTTTTTGGAATAATTTTTAATAAATCTTGTCAAGTATAATCACAATATTTTCTTGTATATTTTTTTGTTGTATTCCAATACATTTTAATAAAATTAAGTTTACAATAAAATTTAGAATACAATATGAAAATAAATCCTTTTGATTCAATAACTTCTTGAATCTAGCATTTTTAAGCTTAAAAATTTGGTTATAGTTTTAAAATTTATTATGTATAACAATTTGATAGTTAATTTTTATTTTTATCTTTAGTTTTGTAAAAATCACAAGATTTTTTTAAATTTTCATATCATAATTCTCTTTTTCACAAAATTAGCTTTAATTCTTTTGTTATTCTCATAAATACTTTATTGAAAAATTCATTTTTTGTACTAGTTTATTAAAAATTGTATTATATATAAATGATTGTTTTCCTTCAGATCCAAGATTCATTTAATTAGTCAAGAGTGTATCATTTTTAAAATAAACATGACTTGTTGTGTTATCAAAGACAAAAACTCCAATACAATTTGGATGAGTAACTTCAAAAATTGGAATTGCTTTTTGAACAATTTGATTAATGAGTTTTTTAGCATTCCATTATCCTTCATTATTTTTTCCTAATTCAATATATTCATAACTATATATTGATAAATCAGGATTTTGAATTTGTTGTTCTGGTGTTAAATAGAATGGTCCAATTGTCTCTGTTAAAAAATCACCAACATGATAAGCTTTTCCTTTTTTGCATAAAGTCTATTCTTCTTGTGGTTTCCAACCTTTTGTATTACTATTATTTGAATAAAAAGTTGATTCGTTATGAGTTACAAGAATTCGTTGTTTAATGCCAGGAGATAACACATTTTTCACAATTTTCACCTTCAAAGGTGGAACTAAATGGCTCTACTTTATTTGTCATAAAGTCTAAAAATTGTTTATGATAGTCAACAATTACTGGATCCTCATGCCCATCACGATAAATATCTTTTTGATGTATACTATATTCCCAACCTAATTTTTTCAATCATCTTCCAGCTGTTTGCGGCTATTTTTTTTTCGTGCATTCTCAACATCTACAATTGGCAAAATTTTATTATTGATATAATCTTGGAGAATTATTGGTATGTGTGACTTCTTAGATATGTACTAATTTGAGTTGCGATGTCTTCGTGTTGGAAAAGACTGTTGGTTTTTGGATGCTGGTCACGATGAGAAGTAGAGATTTTCTGGTTTCTGATCCATTGTTTTGCCCATTCTCTAATACATCGACCTTATATTGCTTGATCCACTCTAATCCTGTTGCAATTAATTCGCTGGCCTGCATCCGTGCCATTCCTGTTTTCAAATGCTGAAAATAAGCTGCTACTGCCATTAAACAAGTTTTTTCTGAGCTGCTGAAATCCCTCTTCTCAATACATGCGCAAATCATTGATAGATGCTTGTCAATATGATTCATTTCATCTGAGTCAGAATTTGGTACTGAAGTCACTTCTACTGCCTTCAATAACTCAGGCACTATGTCAGACCTTTCGGGGATAAAAAACTCGTAATTTTTGCTGACCCCTTTGCCGCATTATGATTCTGTTGTTTGTGCCACCTTTTTTGTTCAGGCAGAAAGATCATGATTGTAAACAGGTCGAACATTATTGATAAATTGTTTGCTCATTTCATCCTACCATGATTTAGTATTATCAAGGTTTTTTTCTGTATTGAGTAAAGTGTCTTCCCACGGCTCACCATCACTACTTCCTACTTCACTGATGTCACATTCAAATTGTGCTAAGGAATTATCCACTGAGATCTCAGTTTCATCTAAAGTCTCGAATTCCAGTCCTGGCGCCAATAATCGATTACTTACAATACGCAATTATTTATTTTCGTTCAGCTTGATAAGATGACTATGTTGTTTTTTGCACCTGCCAATTTTTGTTATTATAGAAGAAAAAATTGTATTGATCACAGTACGTAAACGCAATAGCAACAACATTTTCTAAATAAGACAAATGTTAAAATAGGGATAGGAATCAGAATCGATTCTAAAATCGATAAATAATTTTGGATTAATCGATTTTTAATTTGAGAATCGATTCTCAACCCAAAATCGATTCTCGAGCACAAATTACGACGACAGCAAGCGATGACATAACTGGTCTTTGGTTTTGTTTTTCATTACATGTTGATTTTTTCTCTTTTCGTTGAAATAGTTGTACTTCAATTAGTTGAATTCGTAGATACTACGTGATAAGTATTGTAATTCTGTATCCGTTTCATTACATGTGTTTTAATACCAGTTGGTTATTATCAATGTTAACATTATTGAATGACAGAGTATTTATCATATATTGCAACATTTGCACGTTTTTCACAAAATAATTATTTTTCAATTATTTACACAATTTATTGTTATCGTTATGCATTATTATTATTAATCGATTTTGTCTTTGAAATCGATTCTCAAATATTAATCAATTCTACAAAATTAATCAGTTCTAAGAATCGATTCCTATTCCTAGTTAAAAATACACCCCATAAAATGGCTGAGGGATAAGAGATATCGTAGTGCCATTTTTGCGGTAATGCAGCCAAAATTAAAGAATTACATGGTAATGCGGCCGGAATTAAGTTTATTCGAAAAATCGTGGGGTGTATTTTTGCAATAAACTGGAGGATGACCAGATACCCCGACTTGGACGTATGGCGCAGTAGTTGTGGACTAGGTGTCCCACACTGTGGTGGCAAAAAAATTTCCAGATCCCGTGATCTCCGATCCCGATGCCGACCATCCGATATACATGTACCTCTTAAATTCAAAAATAAACAAATGCTTGTTTTTTGAAGAATAGCTTGTATCTAAAACTTTGCCTATGAAACTATCTTTCGTGCTTTAATAAAAAATGTTCCTTGCAAAATTTACTATACTTTGTATTCTCGTTTGTTATACGATAACCTTAACTCTAAACCTAACCCTAATCCTAACCGAAATTCTATTTAATATTATACATTTTAATTTTAAAGGGAATGGTTGGCATCGGGATCAGAGATCACGGGATCTGGAAATTTTTTGCCACCACTTTTCTACTATATATGGATCGTCTGACGATAATATCTCAATCTCTCAAAAAAATTTTTTTTCAAACCAAACAAAAAGCAGTAGATGCAATGCATTGTAATGAAAAAATTAAAAATGAAGAAGCAATTATTATTATCGATAGTGGAGCTGTAAATAGAGTTCTGAACAAAGTCGTCAAACCTTTTTGCAGAAATTTCTTGCCTTAATTTCACTGAAGAAAAAGCTTCCACACTTTCATGCTTCATTGAAATCCCGATAAGATATCTCATACGGTGTTAGCCTTATCTCACTTCAAGGATGAAGGGAAATTGCCTTATTGAAAATGTATTTGACGCCTCACACAGAAATTCAATCGAAGGTTAGCCGTTGTTTCATTTTTCGTCTGCGCTGTGTCATAATATCGAATACTTAATCTTGTGTTTTTTTTCTTTCCTGCTTCTTATTGTCAAACACCACCCAAAAAATTTATTCACGTTATCGTAAAGCCATCCGTTGTCACCGGTAAGTGAGTCGTAATAAATTTTAGTCAACACAATGGACGTAACATTGTTTAACCTTTTGATAGCTGTTGTTTCATTCTCATCTACGCTGGGTCATAATTGTCATAATATCACTGGTTTATTATGACTTATGCAGAGAATCTCGCAAGAACTTCAAACGGGCTTGTGTCTATTTTATAGATAATTCTAACCTCTTTATTGAGGGTTCGTACGTTGTTAGTCGACTTGAGAATGTGAACGCTTTTGATCATAAGAAATCCAACTTCCTCGATTTTTATGCCGATCACGATCTACTTGTCACGACAGCTCTGAGTGGACGACAATTGAGCAACACTTTCATTGTTGGCTCTGTTTCATCACCAAATGATACGAGCAAAAGACCACGGGTAGATGTAAAAACTTTTTAACGAAACGTTTCAAACCGAAAGAAGCAGGTTGACACAACTTGTTTGCAATGCATTCCATATTAACTAAGAATCTGGGTATATTAGTACTGCTGGCGCTGACGATTATTGTCCACTATTAAAGGAGGCCCAAAGAGAAAATTGGGCATTCGAAACATGGTTCTGGTCTGATATTGTACAGTGGTGGACATAAGTAACCTACCTCCTCTAAATCATTCAAAAATAAAATAAAACAGCTTAAATTTTTTTATTTTAAAATACATGACGAATCCTAATTCTAGTACATAGAATAGTCTCCATCGGACTCGATTAGTGCCAAAATTCGGTTTTTCATACTATTAATCAGATTTACGGCAAGTTCATTAGGAAGACGGTTCCACTCTTTCATTAGTTCCCCCTTTAACCCTTT